ATTAGCTACAGGTATCCTTGACTTACAATCATCTGTTTAAAGACGGTTCAAAATAACGCCACTGAAAAAAACGACTTACCGTTTTTCGCACAACCATTGCAGCATCCCCATGGTTTCGTGATCCATGTGTCCTGGGTGTCATGGGATCCATGGGTCATGGGATCTCATTTTGCGACCTGACAAGCAAAGTACATGAGGAAGCCAGATTCACTTAATGACGGTGCCACTAACATAATAACTGCAGTGATTCACTTAGAACTTAGAATAACTTTATTATCACTTTGACATGTACACTAATCAGCCTACATTAAAGTGAAATTTTGTTGCATACAGCTTTCAAAGGGTCATCAACTCCAATATACACTAAATAAACATGACAGAATAAATAAATACAAAATTATGCATATACCTATATATATGACACAGAGAAACAATAGAGTCTAGTTCAGATGTAAGCATGTACATGGAAGAAAAACGAATCTTTTGCGTTTTCCGAATGGGGCATAGGGAACAAAGCCATGTCAGAATCTGGAAGTCCTGCTAGAAATACTTCGAAAGCTCCACCCAGAAGGGAGCGACAGAAACCGGCTGTGAAATGGATGTGTGGGGTCTCTAACAATGCTTTTCACTCTAAGTGCATAACGCTTAGAATCAGTGTCCTGAATAACAGGAATTGGACTTCCTATAATCTCGGCTCTCCATACCTGCTCAGCTGTACTTAACAACAGTAGTTAGAAATGGGACAAAACTTAACAACTGTTTTGCTTAGCAACAAAAGTTGTAGGCTCAGTTGTGGTCATAAGCCCAAGACTACCTGTACTAATTGCCTGCCTCATATTGTCTAATGTTAGCAGTGGCCCAGAGCTCAATCTGTTTTTCCTGAGGCAGGCTGGGAACAATTCTGATGGACACTAGGTGCCATATTAGTGGTGATGGGACAAAACAAAATGGAGAACTATTGCACAGGAGTTTGTTTCTTCACCTCTCAAGGAGGAAGTAGAGGCAGATTGACTTCTGTTTTTTGCTAAGAAGGAAAATTCTTAAGAAAAGTCATCGGCAGCATGTGTTTCTAATTTTCAGAAGGACTCGTTTCCTTTGCACTATCAGATTGGTATCCTGTCACAACAAGACAAAGGTCTCTTGGTTGACAAGCTACAAACCAATGCTGTCTGGGAGATCTGACTTTACAGGATGAAGTTCTAGGAACCTGCTCAAATCAGGCATGAACTAATGTAGTTTGATAGAACAGTACATACTCGACAGCAAAAAGACCAAGGTTTAGTTTCTGTTGTCTCCAGGTAAGGATGGGGAAGAAATCTTGCTAAGATGCCATCTTCCTATCTGGACAATATTGAGCCTAATGGAGAAGAAAGTTTTCTTGTCTTGGAGGCAGCTGTCTCCTCCATTGTGTACCTGTTTTCATGGTTGAACTTGTGCCCCATGTCCAGTTGTGTCTTTCTACCTTTTCTGTGAGGTTCCTGAGTGTTAAGAGAAACAACTAAGAATCCTGTGGGTCTCTTGAAGCAAAATGCATTTATGGAAGCCTAATTTGGGGGGAAGGCTGTCCATTTTAATTCATTGCTTGGATATTGCCCTGGCTGAGATCTCTCTGGATGAGTAGATGGCAATCAGTGGCACATTATATCAGAATCATGATATCATTATGTATTTATAATACTGCAAGACTCGTGGTTGCTTTAGTCACATTCAGATCTTCTCCTCAATCCAGTTCTTCAAGAAACATCGATCATCATCAAGCTTGAACAAACAAGATGACCAATAGGTACAGGAAAGATTCGGGAGCTTTATGGGTCTCCTCACTGGCATTGAAGCAATAGAATAGAATAGAATAGAATAGAATAGAATAGAATAGAATAGAATAGAATAGAATAGAATACTTTATTGGCAGAATGTGATTGGACACACAAGGAATTTGTCTTGGTATAAATACTCTCAGTATACATAAAGATACATTCGTTAAAAATCAAGAATCATAACATACAACACTTAATGACAGTCATAGGGTACAATCAGCAATCAAATCATACTAGGAAACAGTCAATATAAATCGTAAGGTTACAAGCGACAAAGTTACAGCAAGATGAAAGACAACGGGGTTGAGAGGTCAGGATTTCACCTTCTGCCATGGGCCTGTCACCCTCAGCCAACCATCTACTCTGGTGGTTGTTCTGCAAGAAAACTGATGGAAGGAGCTGTATGTATGCTACTTTGGGCTTCTGAATGAAAGGTGATATCATAGCTTGATCAATACAATCCAGTGGTTGAGTGGTTGGTCCCACTGGGATGAAATACAGTTGCCATGCCCTAAAAGACCACCAGGGGGCAGTGGATATGTAGTTCCAAGTCTATATTGGGACTCATCAAACTCAAGTAGCCAAATCTTTCTCTGAGGCTCAAATCAACCAATCAGAATAGAGCTGAAAGGGATCTTGGAGGTCTTCTAGTCCAACCCCCTGCTCAAGCAGGAGACAGGATACCATTTCAGACTGGCTGCCCTCAAATCTGGTTGTATACATCTGATGTCCCAATAATAGGAGGAAACAGGTCACATGCTGCCTCCTGGTGTTCTTATAAGTTTATAAACTCACACAGGATATACACTGTGTAAAAAAATAATTTCCACTATTTCCCCTCCCTCCTCCAGAAGTTATGTATAACTTTGTAGGTGGGGACACGGCATAATGCAACATTTGTTTCTTTCTGTTCTGGCAATTTAGGCACGGTGGACTGTATCCACCAATCTGATAGATTGCTCATACCTTTCTCAGTTGATGGTACAAGACAAGATGTGAATTTCATAAACTGGGGGAAAACTGGGGGAAAACATGGCAAATATTAGCTGTCCTCCAGTCAGTGGGTGGCAATTTCTTCAAAGTTCCCTGCAGTTCCTGTGTCTGCCACAGGGGAACAGTCACAGTTTGAAATTGATCTGCCCTTGTTTCAAGTTTAATTCTGTTGAATTCATACACTCCAGTTTTGAAAGCTGTTGACTTACCTCGTTTCATTCCACGCACAGAGACTCTTCTCCCTTTCCTTGAACTTGAACCCTCCTGTTTGTTCCCCTCCTGCCCCATTTATTTGATCTTTCTAGTTTTCTCCCCTTTTTTCCGATTTCTCTCTCTGATTGGCTTCTCATATTGGCCTGGTTTAAATAACAATTGATAGCTGTATAAAACACTGAAGCGGCAGAGAAATGTGCTTTTTTTTGGACACGGAGGATGGATTTCCTTGACAAGACATGGGATGCGGGATTCTGCAACCTGATCTCCAGCTTTCAAAATGCCAGAAGCCACCTCTGAGAATTCGAATAGAGGTCACAAGAAAGTCCAAGGAAGAAAGAGTTTAATTTGGGTGTGCGGAAGGCTTCCAAGTTTATGTTATTTATTTACATCCCACCTTTATTATTTTTACAAACAATTCAAGGTAGCAAATATATGCAACACACCTTCCTCCTCTTATTTCCCCCACAACAACAACCCTGTGAGGTGGGCTGGGCTGAGAAAAAATGACTGGTATCCAAGTCATCGCACAGCTGGCTTTCATGCCTAAGGCAGGACTAGAACTCACTGTCTTCCGGCGATTGGCCCAAAGTCAACCAACTGATTTTCACGCCTAAGACAGGACTAGAACTCACAGACTCCTGGTTTCTAGCCTGCCTTCACCATTTGATGGCTGATGCATTTCAGTCTCAAACTAAAGTTCAGTTCCCCCTACAACCTTGTAAAAACTATTATGAGAACAGGCTCATTTCAGATTTGGAGACATTTCAGGAATAAGGATTAAGAGATTTTCACCTTGAAACATTGTGCACACTTCTAGTTTTAAGATATCTAAACACTTGGCCATAGGTTCATGATCCTGTTTTGGCTCAGAAGCTAAATAGGGCCAATGTAGCTAACACTCGGAAAGGAGACCACCAAGCGATTAGCCATGCTGAAATATCCAAGAAAAAAAGATTTGTTGCTGCCCCAAACCACTACATGCTGGCTGGGGAATTCTCAAATTGGCATGGTTAAAATATACCCAACAAAGAACTCACGCAGGTGCTTTGCCCTTTAAAATCCACATTGTACATTTTTAGAATAAACGTTTCATATGATTAACTATTAACTAATATCTGTTCTGCTGCCTCTGACATGCTGTATGCAAGTTGAAAATCACACCTGCATTTCTATTGCCTCTTCAGAGTAATCCTTCCTGGACACAGAGTGCTATTTCTGAGCAAATCTGCATTTGCAGTTTGCAATATGGATGGGGGGGGGGGAGCTATAGCTCCCCTAATTCCAAAGACATTGGCAAGTTTGGGGAAGGTATTGCCCAACTTTGATGCACTTGGATCTTCTGATTTCCTGCTTTTACTTAGTGGGAGTGTAAAATCTTAAAGCATGTCTATGGCGAGTCTCAGATCATCGTCCCAAAGGCGCTTTTTTCAAGAGGCAACTGGACTTTCTGGTGGGTTTTTTTTCCTCCTTTGCAGACGTTTCGCTTCTCATCCAAGAGCTAAAGAAGCTTCTTGGATGAGAAGCCAAACCTCTTCAAAGAAAAAAGGACATCAGAACATCTAGTTGCTTCTTGAAAAAAAAAAAAAGCACCTTTGGGACAAAATCTTAAAGAGTGTTTCTTGTCATGCTCATCAGAAGTGGTTCGGCACCACCTTTGCTCAGATTGTTTGCTTTGGCTGGGTTTGCTGTTTACCTCACCGACCTGCATTCCGGGGATCGCTTGGTGGTCTCCCGTCCAAATCCCCACCAACCTGCTCAGCTTCCCAGCCCTACGTGTTGTTCATCGCTCGCACTTTGGCCATGTCCCCGCTAAGCAACCCGGCGGAGAAGCGACTTCCGCGGCTGGCCGCCGCTTCCCCTTTAAGCCCCGAAGCAAACTCCCCGCGGCTTCTCCCCGCCCGCCCCGTCTGTCGGTCCGGCCTCCCTCCCTCCTCCCTCGCTCGCCCCACCCAGCAACGCAGCCGCCCGTGAGCGAATCGCAACTTTTCCCCCGGCGCCGATCCGCGTCAGGGCTTCGCTTTCCTCGGCGGAATCTCCCCTCCTTTCCCCGCCGGTTTTCGGGCGCTCTCCGCCGGTTCCGATCCTTCGGGATCCGGCCCGGTTCCTCGCTCACCCGTGTCCTCCGTCCCTTCGCTTCTGGCCTCGCCCAGAAGGTGAACCGTCTCCGCGGACCCCGCGCTTCTCCTCCCGGTCCGCGCGCTCGGCTCGCTTTCCCCGCGGGATTGGTCCGGGTCCCGCTTGCTCGGCCCGGTGGGCAGAGGCGGGCGCGTCCCTGCCTGCCGCCCCTCGGTGCTTGCCAGCCGCCCGCCCGCCCGCCCGCCTTTTTCTGCAGCTCCGATGAAACCCGGCGGGGGAGCCGAAGCGCCGGAGGGCGAGGGCGCGGAGGGGGAACGGGAGCCGCTGAACCCCGAGTCGTCGGAGCCGCTGGGCGTCTCCGCCACTTACCGGGAGTTCGTCCGGCGAAGTTACCTGGAGCTGATGAGCGCCAACCAGCACTCGCTGCACGCTCTGAACTGGCGGCGGCTTTATCTCAGCCGGGCCAAGCTGAAAGCCTCCAGCCGCACTTCGGCTCTGCTCTCCGGCTTTGCCATGGTGAGTTGGGGAGACAGGAGGGAAGCGCCTGCCGTCCGGAAGACCCGGCGGGGGTGGGCAGGTGGGAGGCTGGGCTCGCTCTACCCGGTGGTCCGCGCTGCCCTCGCCCATGTGCCTGGCGGGCACATGGGAGAGAAGTTTAGGTTGTGTTAAGACCATAACTGAGACATTTAGGTGACATTTGTCCCATTTTACATCCTTTCTTGCCGCAGTTGTTAAGCGAATCAATCGATCAATTGATCAGAACAGAGCTGAAAGGGACCTTGGAGGTCTTCTAGTCCAAGCAGGGGATCCTAGACAGTTTCAGACTAGTGGCTGCCTAGAATCACTCACTGCACTTGTTAAATTGGTAACCTGGTCGTTAAGTGAATCTGAATTCCCTGTTGGTTTTGCTTGTCAGAAGGTCGCAAAAGGGGTCACGTGACCCTGAGATACCGAAACCTGTCATAAATACAGGTAGTCCTCGAGTTACGACCACAACTGAGCCCAAAATTTCTATTGCTAAGTGAGATAGTTGCCAAGGAGGTTTCGGCCCATTTGACGTCCTTTCTTGCCGCAGTTGTTAAGCAAATCACTCATTGTGCTTGTTAAATTAGTAACCGGTTGTTAAGTGAAACAAGAATCCCCTGTTGACTTTGCTTGTCAAAAGGTCGCAAAAAGTCATCACGTGACCCTGGGATATGGCAACCGTTATAAGTATGAGTCAGTTGCCATGCATCTGAATTTTGATCACTTGGCTCTGGGGATGGTCATGGTTTCAAGTGTGAAAAATGGTCATATCACTTTTTTTAGTGATGTGGTAACTTCAAACGGTCATTATATGAGCTGTTGTAAGTCAAGGATTACTGTAGGTGCTGCTCACAGAAAATGCAGGCACAAGGCTCCTATTTCATATGTTCCCTATTTCCTGCAAAAGGAAGCGGGGAAACTCCTTCCCAACCCAGATAGCACCCTCCCCGTTGCTTTTCCTTCGGTGGTCCGTGGCGTTGCAGGAAATTTTTCTTTTACTTCCAGAAAAAGGCCAGAGATTAAATGCCTAGGGTGACCCCTATCTAATTTTACAAAAGTCAGTGCAATTTTTTTATCTGACCCAAGCAGATCATTCCAAGATTGGTTAATCTTAAACAACAAAGCAAGCTCTGTATCTCTCTGGATCTATGCTTTCTTCTCCCAAAAGGATGCAAAGTTGGAGGTGTGTTTCGATCAGAAAGGTCGGCAGTTTGGCAGTTCGAATCCCTAGCACTGTGTAATGGAGTGAGCTCCCATTACTTGTCTCAGCCTCTGCTAACCTAGCCGTTTGAAAGCATGTAAAAATGCAAGTAGAAAAATAGGGACCACTTCGGTGGGAAGGTAACAGCGCTCTGTGCGCCTTCGGCATTTAGTCATGACGGCCACCTGCCTACGGAGACGTCTTTGGACAGCGCTGGCTCTTCGGCTTTGTAACAGAAATGAACACTGCCCCCTGGAGCTGGAAACGACTGGCACGTATGTGTGAGGGGAATCTTTACCTTTACCTTCGTGGCTCAGCCCAACGGTTCCCCTCCCAAGCAGCCTTGTGGCATCTCCAAGCCATAAAACATTGTGTCCAACTCTGCCACCTTAAGACCTGCAGACTTCAATTCCCAGAATCCCCCAGCCAGCTATGCTGGCTGGGGAATTCTGGGAATTGAAGTCCACACGCATTAAAGTATCCGAGGTTGACTTAACATCGCCTTAAAACTTGGCTCTGGGATAGGAGTGTTTGTCATGTGCAGCTTCCAAGACTCCTTTCCGACTTTTCCCAACCCAGGCATGCTTTTCAAAAAGTTTTGGAGTGCAGATCCCAGGGTCCACAATACAGCTGGTTAAAATGAGGGGCATTGTAGTCCAAAACAACCAAGAACATTCTGCTTGGGAAAAGGCTATCTTCGTGTACATAGTCTGCCTGCGTCTCTTTGTAAAGTAGGGGTGCCTAAAGAAGTCAGCCAAACCTTTCTCTATACTGTATTTATTATTTCAATATATGAGGCCACTTCTCTCAAATTCATAGCTCTGGGCAACTTGCCCTAGTTTAAAAGCATGTGAAATTCAAGAAACGGTATAAAAAAACCACCCAAGAGCCAGTTTGGTCTTGTGGTAAAGGCTACAGGCTAGAAAGTAGTGAGTTCAAGTCCTACCTTAGCCATGAAAGCGAGTGACTTTGAGCCAGTCCCTCTCTCTCTCTCTCTCTCTCTCTCAGCCTGACCCACCTCACAGGGTTGTGACTGTGTGAAAAATAGGGAAGGTGTGTTCATTTGTTTGCTGCTTTGACTCATTTGTAAAAATAACCAAAGAGGGATACAACTATATAAATGTGCTGGTAGAACACTGCAACTGTAAAGGGCTTTAATTTTCTCTACCTTTTGAGACCCCCTGGCTTTATTTACAAACTCTAAAGTAGGCCTTACTTTGTTTTCAAAAACAAAAAAGGAAAATGGATAAACTGACTTCAAAATCACGCTAGGAAATTCACCACCATGCCACCCTGATGAAGGCCCCGCCATTTTGCCTTCTCTTTTCTGCTCCTTCCCCACCCCTCAGAGCCAAAAGCTGATCGATTTGGAGCTGCCACAAAAGACTTTTTAAAAAGAGAAGAGCTAATTTGCTGAAACTTTTTCTTTCTTTTGCATTCAGTTATAAAGTGAATGACTGCAGTTGTAAAGCGAGTCATGCAGTCATTAAGCGAATCTGGCTTCCCCTGTTGCTTTTGCCAGTCTAAAGCTGGCTGGGATGGTTGCTTGTGGCGATCGCATTAACCCAGGATGCTGCAACTATTGTAAATAAATGTGGATTGTCAAGTGCCTGAGTTTTGATCATGTGACTTTGGAGGTGTAAATGGTTGTAAATGCAAGGACTGGTCATAAGTCATTCTTACAGTGTTATTGTAACTTTGGACGGTTACTAAATGAATGGTTGTAAGTTGAGGACTAGCTGTACAGAGAGTTCCCCCCCCTGCAACCCGTCCATTGTCCAACTGTCTTGGCACTCTAGCAGCGGTTATTCTGCGCCTTCTGAGAGTAAAGGCAGTCCTCGATGTACAACAGTTCATTTAGTAACTGTGCAAAGTTACAAGGGCACTGAAAAAAGTGACTTATGACCAGCGGTCAGAGTTACAACCTTTGCAACACCCCCATGGTCACTTGGTCAACATTCAGATGCTTGGCAACTGGTTTATATTCATGAACTTTGGATCCCAGGATCATATGATCACATGATCATTTTCTGTGACCTTCTGACAAGCAAAGTCAACAGGGTAGCCAGATTCACTTAACAACCAGATTGGTAACTTATCAATTGCGGTGATTCACTTAACAAGGCAAGAAAGGTTGTAAAATGGGGCAAAGCTCACTTAACAAACATCTCACTTAACCAACAGAAAGTTTGGGCTCAATTGTGGTCATAAGTTGAGGATTACCTATATGTGGGATTGGTATCTCTGGCCTATAAATACAGTATTTCATTTCTGTCTTTTAGGTTTGCATAGTTTTTATATTTTTTAAGATTGTAAGCCACCCGGAGGTACCTTGTGGTAAGAAGGTCGGCCAATATGTTTTGCAAATAAATAAAATATAGACATCAGAGAATCTTTTGCCTAAGGCCCTCGTACAACATATATTTTGCCCCCATTTCAGTTTAACGTATAATTTTAATTTACCTTTGTCCCTCCTTTCCTTCTTTTTACCTTCCATTAGGACTCGGATTCACCAATAAGGTTTTCCACCCACTGCTTTGTTTTCAATAGTCTTATTAGGTGGGTTAGATGGAGAAATGAGGCCAGAGAATAGAGCTGGAAGGGACCTTGGAGGTCTTCTAGACAAACCCTCTGCTCAAAAAGGAGACCCTGCCCTACACTGTTTCAGAAAAATGATAGTCCAGCCTCTTCTATCTTAGAATTAGAATTGTATCACTGGTTAATTGTTCTCAAGTTTCTAGCTAGGTATGGGTCTCCTGGTATAGTCAGAATAACAGAGTTGGAAGGGACCTTGGAGGTCTTCTAGTCCAACCCCTGCTTGGGCAGGAAACCCTATACCATTTCAGACAAACAGCTGTCCAAACCTCCAGTGTTGGAACATTAACTTCTGGAAACAAGCCGTTCTACTGATTGTCTAATTGTTCTAACAGGAAATTTCTCCTTAATCCCAGGTTGCTTCTCTCCTTGATTAGTTTCCATCCATTGTTTCTTGTCCTGCCCTCAGGGGCTTTGGAAAATAAGTTGCCCTCCCCCTCTTCTTTGTGGGAGCCCCTCAAATATTGGAACACTGCTATCTTGTCTCCCCTGTTCCTTTTCTCTCTCTATACTTATCCATATCAATTCCTGCAGCATGTTTTAGTTTCCAGGCCCTTCATCATCTTCGTTGCTCTTCTCTGCACTTTTTCCAGATTCTTTTTTTTTATAATGTGGTGATCAAGACAGAGGTGGCCTGAAGAAAAAATTAGAAGCTTCCTTTCTCCAAGCCAGATATGCAGACATTTCCGCATTTGGGGCCACACCCAACACAGAAGGCTAATTTAGCAGGCCATAAAGAAGGCTTGATATGAAGCAGAGCTTTGGGTTCCAGCAGAAGGGAAAGCTTGAGGCGATAAGGAGAACACCTGGAGGAAGGCTGCCATTGCTATCCCTGCTATCACCTGCTGCCTGAGGCAATCAGCTTTTCACTGTGTTTAATGACACAGCCTGATTACGATCGATCGATCAATCGTTGAGCTGCATGGCAGATGAAGGAAATGAATCACAGGACTTTGAGTTCCTAGTTCACCTGCCACATTCATTGGGAACCCAAATGATGGAAAAGTTGCTTTAGAGCAAGGGTCTTCAAACTTGGCAAGTTTAAGACTTGTGGACTTCAACTCCCAGAATTCCTGAGCTAACATGACTGGAGGAGGAATTCTGGGAGTTAGTCCATAAATCTTAAAGCTGTCCAGTTTGAAGACCCCTGCTTTAGAGTGCTAGAATGCTAGCTGAATGGATTGCCATTTACCCT